GGTGCATTCCAACAGGCTTTGGCGTTACCATGGTCCAGAACATTTCAGTTGGGACGAAGTGAACAGTGGAACAAAAGACGCCACTGAAGACATGTCACCTGAAAAAGCCTCTGTCTACCCGGTTTAGAGAAGGGAAACAGTGGAGCCGTTAATGAAGTTGTTACCACTGATGTGACTGCTACCAATAATGGAACATTTCCTGATGGAGCAGATGAACCCCAAGTGAAGCAGAAGCCAATGAGACAGAGACCAGTACGGAAGAAGATATGTCTTGTAAAATTAAGAGCCTTTGTTGTATTTTAATTTTGTGTTTGCAAATTCTGTACATTTAATTAAGTTATTGTTAACTATCTATTGGTTTAATGTAAGTGGCTATTTTTCGTGACGAGCAATACTAAGAAAGGGGCAGTGTTACGACAGCGGTAGTCACATGATTCTGGGAACACGTCATGAGTTTCTAGAAGTATCATGACTTTTCCTGTCAACTCTAATCTTTTCCAGGCGCCCTCTATTTTAGTATATAAGCTCGGCAAGTAAAGCGGAGATATAATTGTGTTACGTCTCCGTTTGTTAATTAACTTTCCGTAACTTCGTTCCGACGAAACTTTAGCGACACAAGTCCTTACTTAATAAAGCTGGTTTAGTCTTTCCGAATACAACTTTACGATACACTTATTTTCAATATTCGCGCTAAAACAAACACTATAACGAACGAACGTTAACTTCAACAATACTCTGTGACTGCAATTCAATTACTCACTATCTACACAAACATTATTGTCACGTTGTGAGCGTCTTATTTATATACCAGATAAACATATATCTAGTAAATGCTAGGGCATTCACGAAGGAACAAGATACTTCTAGAAAATAGGTGGCGTCACACTAGTCACATGACCTCGATGACGCAACACTTGCAGATAGAGACAGATAATTGAGTCAAGCGAGCGGTAGTGACCGCAAGTAAAGTGCGTGAATCGTTGTCAATTATAGCGTGTGTTTACGATAAAGTGACTGTGGAAATTCTGTGTATTGCAAAGCTGTATTGAGAAAGAATAAACTAGTTTTATTTAAGAAAGGACTTGTATCGCTGAAGTTCCTTGGGAAGAATTTATACCGGAAATTGACAAACGACCAGAGACGTAACAGAAGTGTCATTTCTTTGTCTTCTGTCTCTGACTGGATATGTGTGTGCTTGAATATTTACATTTCAATTTGTTTGTTTGTTTATCAGTTGTTAAGTGCAAAGCTACACAATGGGCTATCTCTGATCTGCCCACTGTGTGTATTGAAATCCGATTTTTAGCGTTATAAATTCTCACACTTACCGCTCAGCTACTGTCACACACTTCGTCAGAGAATCGTATTCATGCTGTAGAACACAGACATCTATATATACTATATGTATGATGTTTTTAGATGTAGTTTTTCAAAACATCACAAAAATATAAAGCATAGTCTCATCTTTCGATTTTAGTTCATCCAGTATTACTGGTGGCGGAATTCCCCATACTGGTATAACTCCGTGGCAAACGTAAAATCGAATAATATATAGGACTTCACAGACATTTATAGTCTTATACTGTTCAGTTAATTCATACAAAATAAAACCGTGAATTTTATCACCAATTCACATCAATTCATACAATGAAACGTGACTTACGTACTTGTACCTAACTCTTTACTTAAGAATATCATTGTACTTTCATTGCCTGAAAGGGTTAGGGAAGCTGGTGTTTACAGCATATGATACATGACGTAACCATTAACTGCCAAATATACAAGAATCAGGCGAGCGCGTGTTTATGTCACGTGATAAGTGACGTAAACGTTAAAGATACTGAGGGAGAAAGAAGTGACTTGCTCATTATTTTCATGGTTTTGAATTAATGGATAGTGAAAAGTTAACTTTAAATTTTGTAATTTATATTTCGTAATTTAATATTTCAAGTTCACCATGACTTCAACGCCAAGAAGCTTGGCAGAAGAACCCCTAAATGGTAAGCAGTCACTGCATTCTGTAGTCTACAGTACGATGACAGATACTAAGAAATTGGAACCGTCAAAAGAATTGTACTTGTAAGTTGTAGATACATGATGGCGACGTCGAAACATGGCATATTAGTTATTACACTCTTTACAACATTTGGATTTGGATATTTAGTTATTATGAGTCACTTATTTGTAACAGTTTTACGAATTTATCAGTGATACTGGAATATTTAAGGTGATGTACATTAGTGTCTAAGAAAATGACAAATATCAATTAAATGCAATAAACTGCATTTACCTTTATACAATAAATATAATTACACAAGTATTTTAAAAGAACTTGTGTGAACCTATTGCAGAAATCATGCTGAGTGCCTTTTAGTTTTACATTGTGCATAATTTCTTCATGAATTGACAGATTTAAGTGTTACACAGTATGTAGGATATTTCTGTATTGTTGCATAACAGTAAATAGATATATTAGTTATTTTTTTTACTTTACCTAGTAAATTCTAGCTAGCTTAAAAACCCCAAATACTAGTGTAATAATCTTGTTATAAAGTTTTTGAACTGAAAATACAAGGATATTTTAAAGTTGGGACTGAGACTGTGGGAGTGAAACATCCTTGATTGACCATGTCCCCTTAATGTCCCATAATTTATATGCAGAACTCTTCCACTGTGCTACTGTCAGACTTAGTTCTATTATTACACAGCTAGACCAGTACCAGTAGTAATCATATTATAGATATTACAAACACTACTGCCATTAGTATTAACTGTTATTGTTAGTAATAGTAAATTAGACCTAATTAGATCACTGAATGTGACACTGTTTATTTTCAAAATCAGTTGCTTATACCACATATTATACAATTGTGGCTTGACTATGGGTTATATCTCCTTATCTAACTTAAACATTAATTTTATCAATATCATTACATCTTTTGTTTCTATGTATAAGTAAATCTTAAAATTCAATTCACTTTAATATTTACTATTTTTAGTGGCTTGAGTGACATATCTACTAGTACCACTATGTCACAATCCTTTTCAGCACATTTTTAGTGACTTGAGTGACTTATCTACCAGTACCACTATGTCACAATCCTTTTTAGTGACTTGAGTGACCTATCTACCAGTACCACTATGTCACAATCCTTTTTAGTGACTTGAGTGACTTATCTACCAGTACTATGTCACAATCCTTTTTAGTGACTTGAGTGACTTATCTACCAGTACTACTATGTCACAATCATTTTCAGCACATTTTTAGTGACTTGAGTGACATATCTACTTCACTCAAGTCACTAAAAAGGATTGTGACATAGTGGTACTCTTATCTAACAGTACCACTATGTCACAATCCTTTTTAGTGACTTATCTAACAGTACCATTATGTCACAAGCCTTTTTAGTGACTTGAGTGACTTATCTAACAGTACCATTATGTCACAATCCTTTTTAGTGACTTGAGTGACTTATCTACCAGTACCACTATGTCACAATCCTTTTTAGTGACTTATCTACCAGTACCACTGTCACAATCCTTTTCAGCACATTTTTAGTGACTTGAGTGACCTATCTACCAGTACCACTATGTCACAATCCTTTTCTTCAGTCATGTGATTGAGTGAGTTACCATCTTAAGCTAAAAGTGTGACCGAAGGTTGAGAACCCAAATTCATTACTTTTCATTTTCTGTTATTAATATGCTGACTGTTTGTCCAACGTACCAATTGACCCTATTCATTCTGTCATGCCTCTACATTAAGGAATGCCTAACGGTTTTATGTTATCAATAAACATTACCAGTTTCACGATCGGTTTTGAATTTAATGCTATACAACATCAGACTTTCTACACAATTCTGATGATAGATTATGAATTATATTTCAGAAATTCACTTTAGACAGTTTCAAAAAATGTCTTTATCACCAAACAAATCTTTGTTAGTTTTGTTGTTAGAAATTTCACTTTTGATAGACATTTAGCTTGCATGTATAGTAACTTTTTTCAGCTAGTGTTTAAAAAATATACTTGTAGAAACTTTGAATAACTTGAACATTATACTATAACGTTGAAAACAAGGCTCTTTGAAACTGTAGTTGTATTTTACGTCTTCACATGTACATAAATATTAGAAGTGGTGAAGAACTGTATTTCTACAGAAAAGAAATGCTACTTTGTATTTCCTAAACAGATGCTTTGAGGTAACAAAGAAATACCTTTTTCCTGTCATATTTTCTTATTATAGTGTTATATTCACATTGTATTGTATATTTGTTTATTATCAACATCTAATTACTGTATTTTAAGTGTATAAGTAAATAAACTGTAAATGATATGGTTTAATTTTTTTTTTAACTTATAATTCAGCTGCAGTTTTCATCATCTAAATAAGGCACTTTTGTTTAAATTACATATCAGATTTTAAAAATACAATTTGAAGCTGCTCACTACAGATTGTATTATGTATGATCAATCATTGGAATTTGTAAAATGGAGAATATGATTTATAGAAATAAACTAAGAGAAGTCCTGAAAGTTATAATTAAAACTAAAGCAAATTATGGAAATAATTTGGCTTAAAACATGAAATTTGACATGCTTACATTAAGTGTTGAGTGAGTCAAAAACAGAATTAGTCCTTTATGAGGTTTTAAAGGGAACTGTATTATGGAAAAAAAGAAAAAGGACATGGTTTAGAACTAAACCTTTCTTATGTTTTTAGTGATAAAAGTGTCAGAGGTTCTCAAGGTGACCAGTTAATCTAAAATGGGAAGACTTCTTAAAATGATTAGTTGTACTTATGTATTCTGTAATTTATGTACAATGAAATATAGGGCCTGGTCCTGGTATTATAATCTGATTAAGGTTGCCATATGTACATTTCTTATATAAAGGAACTTAACTCATGGCTGATTATGAACCCATTCAATGCTGATTAGCTCATTATTTAGCAGCCCTTCATTTTTGATTTACATTGGTATCAATAATAACAAGGAATATATGGTAGAAAAACAAAGTAATTTAAAATCTCTGGTCTCCTTCCTGTGGTAACAATGAAGTAACAGACTTATTAGGATGATAATTACCTTTCTTCATAATCTTTGTAAACACTATGTTTTTGAGGCAGTGAAACAGATATAGAAGCCTAAATGAGAATCTGGTTGAGTATATAATGTAGTATGTATTTAACTGATAAGCTTGATAATGATACATTTGAGCTACTCTAAATACAGAGACTTTAACCTGGAGACCTTACAACTGTGTATAATAATTGGGATCTTCATCTCTGCACTTAGCCTTGCTATGTAAAGTGATTCAGCCATCAGTGTATGTATGTTTACTTAAAGTTTCAGCCATCAGTGTATGTATGTTTATTTACAGTTTCAGCCATCAGCATATGTGTGTTTACTTACAGTTTCAGCCATCGGCATATATATGTATGTTTACTGACAATTTCAGCTATCAGCATATGTATGTTTACTGACAATTTCAGCCATCAGCATATGTATGTTTATTTACAGTTTCAGCCATCAGTGTATATATGTATGTTTACTTACAGTTTCAGTCATCAGCGTATGTATGTTTACTTACAGTTTCAGCCATCAGCGTATGTATGTTTACTTACAGTTTCAGCCATCAGCGTATGTATGTTTACTTACAATTTCAGCCATCAGCATATGTATGTTTATGTACAGTTTCAGCCATCAGCGTATATATGTTTGCTGACAGTTCTTTAATACAAACAAACAGTTTCAAACTTTTTATTAGTGTGAACTGTAGCCTATCAAGATTGAAATCAAGTTTTATTGTAATACATATAGTCATTATAATCCACTGAGGTTTCTCTTGTATTATTCATTGTTTTAATTTTATCAGTTAAGCCTTGAAGATATTCCTTTTTTTTTTGTGGTCTGTAATTGTGTGTACAAGTGGTCTGTAATAGGGTGTACAAGTGGTCTGTAATAGGGTGTACAAGTGGTCTGTAATAGTATGTACAAGTGGTCTGTAATAGTATGTACAAGTGGTCTGTAATGGTATGTACAAGTGGTCTGTAATGGTATGTACAAGTGATCTGTAATGTACAAGTGGTCTGTAATGGTATGTACAAGTGGTCTGTAATGGTATATACAAGTGGTATGTAATGGTATGTACAAGTGGTCTGTAATAGTATGTAGAAGTGGTCTGTAATGGTATGTTCAAGTGGTCTGTAATGGTATATACAAGTGGTCTGTAATAGTATGTAGAAGTGGTCTGTAATAGTATGTACAAGTGGTCTGTAATGGTATGTACAAGTGATCTGTAATAGTATGTACAAGTGGTCTGTAATGGTTTATACAAGTGGTCTGTAATGGTATGTACAAGTGGTCTGTAATAGTATGTACAAGTGGTCTGTAATGGTATGTACAAGTGGTCTGTAATAGTATGTACAAGTGGTCTGTAATAGTATGTACAAGTGGTCTGTAATGGTATGTACAAGTGGTCTGTAATGGTATATACAAGTGGCCTGTAATGGTATATACAAGTGGCCTGTAATGGTATATACAAGTGGCCTGTAATGGTATATACAAGTGGCCTGTAATGGTATATACAAGTGGTCTGTAATAGTATGTAGAAGTGATCTGTAATGGTATGTACAAGTGGTCTGTAATGGTATGTACAAATGGTCTGTAATGATATTGTTACGACAGCGGAAGTCACGTGACACTGGTAATATGTGATGAGTGTCTAGAAGATTCACGAAGATGCTAGTGCGTGCTACGCGCGTTTTTGATTGTATATAAGCACGCCAGACAAAGGAGAGATTCATTCGGAACTGGAGTAGCAGAGAGGGAGATTGAAGTTATAGATGCCGATAACCACCGTAACTAAAGTGCGTGAATCATTCATTGTGAATTATAGCGTGTGTTTAAGTTAAAGTGACTGTGGAAATTAAGTGTATTGCAAAGTTGAATTGAGAAAGAATAAACTAGTTTTATTTAAGAAGGACTTGTATCGCAGAAGTTTCTCGGAAAGAATTTCTACGGAAAATTAACAAACAAACACAGAGACGTAACAGTATGTACAAGTGGTCTGTAATAGTATGTACAATTTATTTCACTCACATATACCCTTATATTGAACTTCTATAATAAATGTATACAGTCCTAGTGTGATACTACATAAAATACATGTAGTTATGGTTTATTTTATTGAAAATATTATAACATCTTTTATGTTTACTGTCATGCAACTACATTTCATCAATCTAGCTTATGTGATGCTTTAACTTTTGTTTTTCTCATGCTTTAATAGTAGGAACATAAATATTCATTGTAGAATGCTAAAAGAAATTGAAGGAACGATATAAAATTATATATGAAGAAACGTAACAAGTAATTTTGAATGAACCATAATTATAAAGTTGTTTACTTCTTTTTGAATAGCATGCACAAAGCAGTTGAAGTAATTATACTCATATTTAATGTAGAGTCATGGGTGGAGCTCAATTTAGCAAGTGGAGAATGCACTCACGCCCGTTCTACTCCTGTTCCTTTTGGGGGATCCATTTTGAATGGGAACATGGAAAAACTTCTGTGGGAAGCTCAGCGAGAAAGTAATCGTTCCTCGGCTATAGCAAGTGGAAAATCCTCTCATCGCAATAGGTATTATTGTTGCACGTATTAGTGTATTCAAGGCATGATATTGTTATTCTTAACTAATTGAACGAGTTTTGTGAACTTGAAACTTATACTTCCATTACTGTTAATACTGTCATTCATTTGCATTGAAAACTATAAATGTGTAAAACTATTAAGCAGTCCATTTTTACATCCAATCGATGTAGGTATCCAATATAATTTACAAAATGTTGTTATTCTGCAACAGTTAAGCTAGATTTTTGTGAAAATATGAAAACTAGGTATATAAAAATCTATGTATATCCTGCATCATCATCTAAACCATGGATTAGAACAATATATACTAAGATAAAAATTTAAAATATGTAGTGTTATAAATTATATTTATCCAGATCTGCTACAAAAATTATCAAATCTTATTATGTTAACATCTTTTTTTATAGAAAGTGCATTCTGTAAATATGTGAACTTGTAATTTCATCCAAGATGAAAGTTTTATTAATTATGGATAGAAATCAATATAAGTTTGATGAATTAGGTATAAAAATGTATTTGTTAAGAATAAGAGGAGGACAATAAAATGTATCTTTTTTTTTAAAGTTGTGAGATACAGTTAAAAAGTTACAGATGTGGTGCTTGTATCGTTGACATCTAACTTTCCAACATTAGTCACTTGACAACTGTTATTTTTGAACAGTAAAATAAATGTTTGTCAAACTTAATGAAAGCGCCTTTTTTTTCTTACCAATATGTACACATTTTGCAAAAGTTCATGTGTGACTAACAAGAAGTATAGTGTAAAGTATTTAAAAAGGCAAAACAATTATTGGTTCTCTAATATCTTAACTAGGATGGACTGTTAATTTCTAGAACTGGCATGTTTTTTTTTATAGTTATGTATAGTTCAAACATGCAAATTTCTTGATGACTTTGAAAATCTGAAACCTAGGAATCTTGTTCACTAAAAACACCATAAAATAAGTGATGATTAGAAATGGCTACAAATTACAGCTCCGAATTATGTTTTTCAATATCTAGCACATGATTATCATATTTTAGTTTTTTAAGATTATCTGCAAATTTTACTAATTAATCAGGATGTCAAAAAAACTATCATCAGATTATCTAAAGAAATAAGATAATAAATAATTATTTAAAGGAATAATTTAACTACATAAGAGCATCTATAAGAGACTGTTTTTATTTTGTGTCACTACTTTAGTAAATATTAATGATACATTAATAGTGTGTGTTGTGTGTCTATATATATATATATATATATATCAGGACATAACTTTTTGAGGGATTTTGTTTCTGTCTCATGTGGATGGGTGTGTCTTTTGTGTATGATCCCTTTGATGTTTTTTACATTGAGAATAAGTGTGTACAAATCTCTTTCAGAGTTCTTGTATTGTTTGACTTTTTATTAACGCGTAAATGTTAAGAGATTAAGCTACAAACTATGAAAGTATGGATAATGCTAATGTAAGCAATTCATAGTTTACTGATATCATAAACTTAATTATAATTGACATACTTATTCTGTGATATCATATTCCCCTAGGGTTTCAGTTATACTCTATGATAACTCACCTTCTGTGCCAGGTAGTGCTAGCTCAATTTCAACATATGTGAAACTTGATATGGTAGAAAGTGATAGTGTGTTAGCATTCTTTGAATGCCATACAGGAAGTTTCTGTTTATTATTCTCAAAGTTTATGTAATGTACTATACATTCTAAAGGCTTACTTAGTGTACTATACATTTTGAAGGCTTACTTACTGTGCTATACATTCTAAAGGCTTACTTAGTGTATTATACATTCTAAAGGCTTACTTACTGTACTATACATTCTAAAGGCTTACTTAGTGTACTATACATTCTAAAGGCTTACTTACTGTACTATACATTCTAAAGGCTTACTTAGTGTACTATACATTCTGAAGGCTTACTTACTGTGCTATACATTCTAAAGGCTTACTTAGTGTACTATACATTCTAAAGGCTTACTTACTGTACTATACATTCTAAAGGCTTACTTAGTGTACTATACATTCTGAAGGCTTACTTACTGTGCTATACATTCTAAAGGCTTACTTACTGTACTATACATTCTAAAGGCTTACTTACTGTACTATACATTCTAAAGGCTTACTTAGTGTACTATACATTCTAAAGGCTTACTTAGTGTACTGTATATTCTAAAGGCTTACTTAGTGTACTGTATATTCTAAAAGTATAACTGACATGTTCTAGTATGTTCATTATCTTGCCTCACTTCACTCGTGCTGATATCCACGATGTTCTGTGCACCATCATAGTTTATTTTAGCTACATATTTGTTTATGTGAAATAATATCAAACTTATGTTTTCTTGAGATTTTGTAATACAAAAATACTGTTGGTGTTGTTTATGAGAAACTAGTATAAAAGCCCGTCAAAAATGATGAAAAACCTGCCAAATTTGATTCCTTTAATATGCATTTGCAACTTTGCCTCCCATAAACTGACATAAGAAAAATAAAGGGCCTTGTAGTTCCCGAGCCCTTCTTCTGTTTCTTTCTGCCAGTGTTTCCATCATTAAACTTCAGAATGGTTCTGTATTTATTCTACAATTTTGAGTCTATCATATACTCTTCTAGGCTTATCTATATTTCATCAGAGAGTGACACATTAAGCAAATGGGCATCAAATCTAAATTATGTCATAAGTTCGACTTTGTCATCCAGGGAAGGAGATTGGAAAACATTTTCTGATGTAAATTGATAATTTAACAAAGATACGTTTTCAGATTGTGAAAGTGGTGCAATTTTTTTGTACACTTTAGTCCAAATACATCTTTAATTTTCAATAAATCGTAGACTATTCGCTTCTAATTGACAGGAAGCCAAAGTACTTAAATTACGTAATAAGTTGCTATGACATCAGTGCGTGACTGAGAGACAGACAGAAAGATACACACTGTGTTTACAGCTAGATACACACTGTGTTTTATAGTATTAGATCACTTTAATGCATATTCCATTCCACTTTTGTTAGGGTCTGCTGTTTTATAATTTTCAGAAAAACAACTTTGTGGATTTTTTTTCAAGCCTACGTACCAGTGTTACCACTTTAAATGCTGGAAATTTATTTCTATAATAAAACTATAATTTTTTTCTGTTATTTTTAAAATACTGTGAAGAAAAGCAGCTACTAATTGAAATTGATTTTGAAGTGAAAGTAAACTGTTACTAAAACTACTCAAGTAAATTTCTCTCAGTGTTTTTGTTTCTCTTTTTTACAAAAATTACTTTCAGTAATAGAAGAAACTGGTGTTTAAACATGTTAGATGCTGACTATGTCTAATACAGTAATTAAAAAGTAGAATAAAAATAATTTACTGTTTGCTTTGTTATATCTTAACTTTTTTTTTAAACCTTTTATGATACTAATTCTTATTGAATGATATCCTAATGTTTCCCCGTTTTCATATCTGTAAAATTATTCTGAGACATAGTTTTACCTGTATGCATACATAGCTTTCTGTGACTACTGAATTTGTTATGATAAAGTTAATTATTCCGTTGCCCCCAAACCCTCACAGGAGTTGCTTCAGCTTTAGGCTTTCATCAGGTTTACAGAGTCTCTTGCCCCCAAACCCTCACAGGTACATGAATATTCTTCAGGAATAGTTTCAGCTTTAATCCTTCATCAGGTTCACAATGTTAATGCTGCTGTAATTGAACTTTTCAAGTCATGTAGTAATGGAAAGTTTTATCTAACTTATTGGTAATTCTTTTGTTCATAAGCTATGGTTGATGTATTTATAAATATAATACTATTTGGTTATATACAGAGTGTTTAGTTAGACTTAGCTGTATCTCCTTGACATAGCAATTTGATAATACTTATACATTTGTGGTTTTAAGAGCCAGGAAAATAACATTCCTTGTTTAAATTTGCAAGGATCTTTCAATTCTCAAATGACCAATCTACAACCTATGCAATATATTTTTCTGTTCTTCTAAAAAATAAATTAAGTAAATATGATTATAATGAGTGTATATATGTGTGTGTCTGAAAAATGTACTTATTTCACCTTTCTTTTTCTCAGTCTTGTCCAAATTAGATCTTTCAAAATTTTATTTTCATATTTTTTCCAGCCCAAAGAGCCCTCACAGTCCAGTGAGTGAACCACGATCTAATCCTCAAGAACTACTTATCATTAATAAAGTAAGGTTTAGCATCCATAAATTTCTATATAAGTAATCTAACATTTTTGATACATTTAATTCCTATAACACTGTATGCATGATTGGTGTGTATATTTTATTTATCTTCATATAAACGCATTATTAGAACAACATTTAAAGATTACTGCCCTTACACTGGACAAATTTTAACTTAGATTAATAGCAAAGTTGCTAAGATGATATATGAATTAGTCAAGTATTTTGACATTAGGAACTTACTAACGTTCTTTTCAACAAGTTTCATATTCGAAGTCATTTTAAGTTTTCTTGTTTGCATTTCATAGGCATTTAGCTTAATTGATGTTTAAAAATATCAACCAATACCTAGCTTACTATATAATACTAGTAGATGAATATAGGTAAGTGTTCCTAGCTTACTATATAATACTAGTAGATGAATATAGGTAAGTGTATACCTAGCTTACTATATAATACTAGTAGATGAATATAGGTCAGTGTTCCTAGCTTACTATATAATACTAGTAGAGGAACATAGGTCAGTGAATACCGAGTTTACTATATAATACTAGTAGATGAATATAGGTCAATGTACCTAGCTTACTATGTAATACCAACAAATGAATATAGGTCAGTGTTCCTAGGTAACTATATAATACTAGTAGATGAATATAGGTAATTGTATACCTAGCTTACTATATAATACTAGTAGATGAATATAGATCAGTGTTCCTAGCTTACTATATAATACTAGTAGATGAATATAGGTCAATGTACCTAGCTTACTATATAATACTAGTAGATGAACAGAGTTAAGTGTTCCTAGCTTACTATGTAATTTTAACAAATTAATATAGGTCAGTGTTCCTAGCGAACAAAATAATACTAGTAGATGAACATAGGTCAGTGTTCCTAGCTTACCATATAATACTAGTAGATGGACATAGGTCAGTGTATACCTAGCTTACTATATAACACTAGTTGATGAATATAGGTCAGTGTACCTAGCTTACTATATAATAGTAGCAGATGAATACAGGTCAGTGTATACCTAGCTTACTATATAATAGTAGTAGATGAATATAGGTCAATGTTCCTAGCTTACTACATAATACTACTAGATGAATATAGGTTAGTGTACATAGCTTACCATATAACACTAGTAGATGAATATAGATCAGTGTTCCTAGCTTATTATACAATACTAACAAATGAACATAGGTCAGTGTACCTAACTTACTATATAATACTAGTTTATGAATATAGGTCAGTGTTCCTAGCTTACTATATAATACTAGTTGATGAATATAGCTCAGTTTTCCTAGCTTATTATGTAATACTAACAAATGAATATAGGTCAGTGTTCCTAGCTTACTATATAATAGTAGCAGATGAATATAGGTCAATGTTCCTAGCTTACTACATAATACTTGTAGATGAATATAGGTAAGTTTATACCTAGCTTTCTACATAATACTAGTAGCTGAACAAATGCTAGTGTACCTAGCTTACTATATAATACTAGTAGATGAATAAGGTCAGTGTTCTTCTCTTACTATATAATACTAGTAGATGAATATAGGTCAATGTTCCTAGCTTACTATATAATACTAGTAGATGAATATAGGTCAATGTTCCTAGCTTACTACATAAAACTAGTAGATGAATATAGGTCAATGTTCCTAGCTTACTATATAATACTGGTAGATGAATATAGGTTAGTGTACCTAGCTTACAATATAATACTAGTAGATGAACATTGGTCAGTGTTCCTAGCTTATTATATAATACTAGTAGATGAACATAGGTCAGTGTTCCTAGCTTACTATATAATACTAGTAGATGAATATAGGTCAGTTTTCCTAGTTTATTATGTAATACTAACAAATGAATATAAGTCAGTGTTCCTAGCTTACTACATAATACTAGTAGATTAATATAGGTAAGTTTATACCTAGCTTACTACATAATACTAGTAGCTGAACAAATGTTAGTGTTCCTAGCTTACTATATAATACTAGTAGATGAATATAGCTCAGTTTTCCTGGCTTACAATATAATACTATTTGATGAGTATAGGTCGGTGTTCCTAGCCTACTATATAATACTAGTAGATGAATATAGGTTAGTGTACATAGCTTACTATATAATACTAGTAGATGAACAGAGTTAAGTGTTTTTATCTTATTATATAATACTAGTAGATGAACATAGGTCAGTGTTTTTAGCTTACTATGTAATTTTAACAAATGAATATAGGTCAGTGTTTCTAGCTTACTATATAATACTAGTAGATGAATATAGGTCAGTGTCCCTAACTTATTATATAATACTAACAAATGAATATAGGTCAGTGTACCTAGCTTACTATATAATAGTTGTAGATGAATATATGTCAGTGTATACCTAGCTTACTATATAATACTAGTAGATGAATATAGGTCAATGTACCTAGCTTACTATATAATACTAGTAGATGAACAGAGTTAAGTGTTCCTAGCTTACTATGTAATTTTAACAAATTAATATAGGTCAGTGTTCCTAGCTAACGAAATAATACTAGTAGATGAACATAGGTCAGTGTTCCTAGCTGACTATATAATACTAGTAGATTAATATAGGTCAGTGTATACCTAGCTTACTGTATAATACTAGTAGATGAATATAGGTCAGTGTATACCTAGCCTACTATATAATACTAGTTGTTGAGCATAGGTCAATGTTTTTAACTTATGATATAATACTATCAGATGATTGAAGGTTAGTATATGTAGTATATTATGTACCTATTTGTAGCAACATGCGTCAAACCACCTTGACATAAGTGGCTGGGTAGTTGCAGAAGCATGGGTCAAACCACCTTGACATAAGTGGCTGGGTAGTTGCAGAAGCATGGGTCAAACCACCTTGACATAACTGGCTGGGTTGTTGCAGAAGCATGGGTCAAACCACCTTGACATAACTGGCTGGGTAGTTGCAGCAGCATGTGTCAAACCACCTTGACATAACTGGCTGGGTAGTTGCAGAAGCATGGGTCAAACCACCTTGACATAACTGGCTGGGTAGTTGCAGAAGCATGGGTCAAACCACCTTGACATAACAAACCTGGTAGTGTTTAGTTTGTTTCATCTGATTCCTTTTCCTAGGAAATTGGATTTTTCCTGATGAGTCACACTATTGTTCACTTGATGTATTTTGTTGAGCCATGGGCTATGACCATCATTTATGTGCCTGGAGCAAGGTGCAATAAAAAATAACTGTGGTTGCACTTGTGTTGCACTGTTTAATCCCTTGAATGTCAGTCAGAGAGCCACTTGTGTCACACTGTATAAACCTTTGAACGTCAGTCAGAGAGCCACTTGTGTCACACTGTATAACCCCTTGAACGTCAGTCAGAGAATTATTTTTGTACTACTTGTGTTGCACTGTGTAACCCCTTGAACGTCAGTCAGAGAAAGATTTTTTGTACCACTTGTGTCACACTGTGTAACCCCTTGAACGTCAGTCAGAGAGCCACTTGTGTCACACTGTATAACCCCTTGAACGTCAGTCAGAGAAAGATTTTTTAGTACCACTTGTGTATCTTTTGCAACTTCGAGAGAGTGCTTTCATTAGATCTGCCCCACCTATTAAATGGTCATTGTTTAGGTTTTTTCACAGCCTTTCCCTGAGCATCACGTTGACTTTTGTCATGGATGTCATGTGTGTGATAAGTTGTAAGAATATATACAATTTGACTTATTACACAACTCATGTGATAGAAGACTGTACTCATCTTTTTTTATTACATATGCGATAGCAAAGTGTACTTTGATTTTATGAACTGCTTGAATGAGAGGCATCCTTTGAAGCTTATCTACACACAAATCACATCCTGTTTGAAACTTTGCCTTTTACAAATCAGCTATTTCTCATACTTTGAACAGTTTGTAATGATTTGAATCAGAAGGTCAAAGTTTGCATAGTAGAGAAATTTTAGTATTAATCAGGGAGTCATTGGACCAAGCTGTGTCTTGTACTTAATTACTATAAGCATTAAAACTCCAAAAGTGCCACCATTTCATGTGAAATTTTTGGTTTTCATTGACAAGTTGATGCATGCAGTGAGAGATTATTACCTTCTCTGGCCAGGTAGTCTGCTGCACCTGCAAATATATTAATTACAAAATATCCTCCGTCAAGTGAAATATGAAATGGTCATTTGGCTTTAGTTCATTGGGGAGGAGAACATGTATGTCTGGGGTCCCTTGAAATACTATATATGCTTTTAGACAACTGTGGTAAGGCATGAACCCTGCTGTAGGACAAGAAGGCTATATAATGTCTTCATGCAGTATTTTTTTACTGTTTAAACAGTGTAGAAGGTCTGTGAAACAAATGAAAATAGATTGTATAAATTCAAACACGCACACACAATAATGTTATCTTGCCACTAAAATTAACTGACAGATTTGATTTTTTTTTACATTTTCAGATTTGATAGTATTAATCCACACCTCAAAGCGTAAGAAAGGCTCACTACATGTATTAACTTTGAAAAATTAAGTTATTTTCAGATAATCTTAATACTCTTCTTAAGGTAGAAAGTAGTTAAACAGTAGATTGAATTTCACATATTTTGATACAAACTCTCGTAGTTGGAACATTTGGGTTTAATTTTTGGTATAGTAATGTCGTCTTTTATTTCTCCACCTTAAACTGTTCCTTATGTAGTTTGTAATATTTGAAAGTGGCTATTCTTATGGTTTGTACTCAAAATGTACTTTTGTCGAACACCAGAGCCAGTTCATTGAGTTAGGAGGAGAGTAATACATAAGTAGGGCATCACAAGATGACTAGACCAATTTAGGCTCAAATTATAGAACATTAGTTCAGTTTTACAGAGGTCATAGCTTCTATACTTGCTATGGCACTCATGTTTTACAATGAACTTTCCTACCTTTATAATGCTGTAGAAATTAAGATTAAGAACAGAACTTGTGTTAAAAGTTTATGACATACTCGTATAAAAATTAGTGTATAGTTGACCTAATAAATGAAGCTATTTACTCAAGGACAAAAAAAGAGACAATCCAATGATGTTTAGCTTCCCTGAGAGAAACATAATAAGAAATACCGATTACCAATTTACATTTTGTGTTTTTTAGGAAGACCTACTTGGTAAAGAAGGACAAGTTGTCACTGACTGGATATGGGATTGGAGTAGCAGACCCGACCAAAGACCCCCCAAGTTAGTTTTTTCTATTCTATATCTATATGTAAGGAAGTTGGAACTGTGATTAATAATCATATTTATGATTAATTTAATTGAGACTATCCAATACTTACTCAAAGAAAATAAGATAATATTAATCTTGGTAATAATCTGTTCACTTGAAAGAAAACTATGTCTGTATCTACGTAAGGAAAATTAAGGCACTTTAATTTAGGTTTTGAAACAAGAAGATATACTGTTTATTTGCAAATGTATCATGGAAAAAAAACTTCATTTTGTAATGAAATCATTAAAAGCAGTGAGGTGCTGGAAGACATTATTACTTAGGTTTATTTAAGAACAGAAATAGATAATGTCCAAGCATTTACTATACAGTGTTATTTTACTAGTTGGGAAATTATTAGTGTATAACTTGAAATTCTACAAGAGCATTTGGAAAAATTTCATATTATTATAAATAATTGGCATGGATTCAGAAATGTCTCTATAAATAGGTAACTTTCTTTAAAAATGTTGCATTCCGTCTGAATGTGGGTAATGCAAGATATTTATGTACATGTACATTTTGAAAGCTTTGATAAAATGCTACATAAAAGAATTCTTAAAAAACCTGCATCTGTTGGGCAGGGGATAAGCTAGTTAAATGAATTGAGAGTTGGTTGTTTGGTAAGAAGCAGAAGGCTGTTATAAGTGGGACAAAAAATCACAATGAATTGACGTTACAAGTGGTATACCATAGGATTCCATTCTAAAGTTTTTACTATTTCTCATTTTAAACAATAGCATTTATAATGGACTAACCAGTGAATTTATTAAATTTACAGACAATATTAAATTAATAGATATTTCTAATTGTAGTAAAGATGCTGAAGTTTTGCAGAAAGATTTGGACTCTTTGGTGAGCTGGGCTAATACTTGTCAGATTCCTTTTAAGAAAGGTTTGGACTCTTTGGTGAGCTGAGCTAATACTTGTCAGATTCCTTTTAAGAAAGATTTGGACTCTTTGGTGAGCTGGGCTAATACTTGTCAGATTCCTTTTAAGAAAGATTTGGACTCTTTGGTGAGCTGGGCTAATACTTGTCAGATTCCTTTTAAGAAAGATTTGGACTCTTTGGTGAGCTGGGCTAATACTTGTCAGATTCCTTTTAAGAAAGATTTGGACTCTTTGGTGAGCTGGGCTAATACTTATCAGATTCCTTTTATGTCTTAATAAAAGAAATGTTATGCATCTTGGTTACGACAACATTAATTATTATTGTAGGAATACCTAGGTGACATTAAAGAGTGAAAAATTCTGGTCTTTGCTTTTACAAAATTTTTGAATTATTCTACACAATATGCATTTACTTGTAATAAAGCAAATAGGATTTTTGGTTGTATAAGTAGAAATAATGAGTACAAGTTAACTCCTTGTTTTCAGGTTAGGTATTAAGGGCTTAATGCGTAACCACCAAAGTAACCATAAGATTAGTCATACTATAACATTTGGTAATGTATGCTTATCTTCACAAAGTTTTGCAGACTTTCAGAAAACATTATAAGGATTTTGTACACACAAAATCAGATTTTTATGAAATTTTTTTGCACTCATTTTGATAAATGCTCCACTGATCTTAAGAAACTCAGTTATCAATTTAACATGTATGATATATTGACAAGTAATAATTTCATGTATGATAAAACAATGGTGCATTTCGTACACAAAAGTAAAGGTTTTTCATTTGTTCAAATTGTGAACCAGAATTAATGATTAGAAAGTCTAAGCTGGTGAAGTGTGTTTCTTTACACTAGAGAACAAACGTTTCCAATTTTATCTGCCTGGTTACAGAATATCTCAAATGATGATGTTAATTTCAGTACAGTCTTACTAAGTTATAAAGTAGCTCTATATAAATAGAGATTTGTCCTGTTTTTAATTTTCTTGTAATCAATTAATACTTTTTATGTTTGTAAGTGATAATGAGGTTATTACAATATTTTTCACTGTATATATGTGCTAGAAATTGGACATTCAAGCACCCTCAACGAACTGGCCTGAGTTTGCGACACACAAAAGTGGCAAAGCGAGGACTCTTCTCTACTGAAGTTATCTCTGTATTAGTGTTCACTAATCTTCTGTCTCTGCTTTTGGGTGCTGGAATAGGGTAGGTACCATATTATTATTGTAATAGGGTAGGTACCATATTATTATTGTAATAGGACAGGTACCATATTATTATTGTAATAGGGTAGGTACCATATTATTATTGTAATAGGGTAGATACTATATTATTATTATTGCAATAGGGTAGGTAAAATATTGTTCTTGTAATAGGATAGGTACCATATTATTGTAATAGGGTAGGTACCATATTATTATTGTAATAGGGTAGGTACCACATTATTATTGTAATAGGATAGGTACAATATTATTCTTGTAATAGGATAGGTACCATAGGGTAGATACCATATTATTATTGTAATAGGGTAGGTACCATATTAGTATTGTAATAGAGTAGGTACCATATTATTATTGTAATAGAGTAGGCACCATATTATTATTGTAATAGGGTAGGTACCATATTAGTATTGTAATAGAGTAGGTACCATATTATTATTGTAATAGAGTAGGCACCATATAATTATTGTAATAGGGTAGGTACCATATAATTATTGTAATAGGGTAGGTACCATATTAGTATTGTAATAGAGTAGGTACCGTATTATTATTATAATAGGGTAGGTACCATATTATTATTGTAATAGGGTAGGTACAGTATTATTCTTGTAATAGGATAGGTACCATATTTTAGTAATAGGGTAGATACCATATAATTATTGTAATAGGGTAGGTACCATATAATTATTGTAGTAGGGTAGGTACCATATTATTATTCTAATAGGGTAGGTACCATATTATTCTTGTAATAGGGTACCTACCATATTATTATTGTAATAGGGTAGATACCATATAATTATTGTAATAGGGTAGATACCATATAATTATTGTAATAGGGTAGGTACCATATAATTATTTAAATAGAATAGGTACCATATAATTATTTAAATAGAATAGGTACCATATTATTCTTGTAATAGGGTAGGTACCATATAATTCTTGTAATAGGGTAGGTACAATATTATTATTGTAATAGGGTTGGTACTATATTATTCTTGTAATAGGATAGGTACCATATTATTTTTGTAGGGTAGGTACCGTATTATTATTATAATAGGGTAGGTACCATATTATTATTTTTGTAGGGTAGGTACCGTATTATTATTATTATAATAGGGTAGGTACCATATTATTCATGTAATAGGGTAGGAACCATAATATTTTTTGGAATACGGTGGGTACCATATTATTAATGTAATAAGATAGGTACCGTATAATTATTGTAATAGGGTAGGTACCTTATTATTCTTGTAATAGGGTAGGTACCAAATTATTATTGTAATAGGGTAGATACCATATTATTTTTGTAATAGGGTAGATACCATATTATTTTTGTAATAGGGTAGATACCATATTATTTTTGTAGGGTAGGTACCATAATATTCTTGTAATAGGGTACCTACCATATTATTATTGTAATAGGGTAGATACCATATTATTATTGTATAATTGTCTGATGTGGTTTACACTTAGTACTTAAGAGATGAACTGTATAAAATGTGTGTTAATTATAGTTCACTCCTTAGTGGCACAGTGGTTACTCTATGGACTTCTAATGATTGAAATCAAATTTTGTTACCCATGATGGACACAGCACAAATATCCTATTGTGTACCATTGTGCTTAACTACAAACAAACAGACCTAGAGGATAGAAGCAACTGCTGATATTAAAGATATTTTGAATATTTTAGTATCGTAAGACACACAAGTTATCTATAGTTATGTTTGTAATACAAAAATATTCAAGAACATGTTTACTGTTTTTCTACATGAGTTATCATTTTCATAAATAATGTGAATTATACTACAATCTAAATTTTTGTATAATTAACAATGTATGTTTTAAATTCCATCCAGTTGATTCAGTGGTAGTATTAAATGTGAAATTTTAATAAGTGACTAACGTAAACAAACCTTTTACTACAAAACCAAATAAGTTTATGGTTTAATAATTTTTGTTAATCTGGCTACTTAGGTAATTACAAATTATATAAAACTGTTAATACAAAATAATATAGTGATAACTTTTAGTGAAGTTACCAATAAGTTGATTTAATGATAACTAAGTCGGAAAGAAATGAAATTTTCTCCCTAAAAACAATCACTCTTTATCCACAAACATAGTGATCTCTAAACGTGACATCACATTTTCCAGATCAGTTTTCAATTCCCAAACTTTCATGTCTCATGTCTCCAATAAAATCTTTAAAACTTATAAAAACCTTATTTTAATTTTGTCCTTTATTTTTGCTTAGAATGGGCTAAAAAACCCCTCTAAAATTGAAAGTAAACTTATATTTTTAACCAAAAACATTTCTGCCAAACTTTCAATACTATAGTAATAGTATTATCGTAACTATATAAGAAGTCTGTGCTATATTGTGAGAATAATTCAAACTTCATTGTCAAAACTTACATGGTAGTATCTGTCGTCAAACATAAAGTACAAAATTTGTTATTAATCAAGTATAAGTGGCATATATTTAACTTTATTTGTGAAACCACAACTTGCTTTGTGTTTCTAAAAAAATATATATTTACTTTTGCATTGCTCCTTTGTTTAACCTGCTGTTCTTTTATTACTGTACAAGTTGCCAGACCTAATTTATAACCATTGGGTGTTGAAGGACTGAAACATCATTCAAATAGTTTTATAGTGATTTTAGAATTTAAATACAGATCTTAAATTGACTTGTGGAGCCACTAGTTTGCTGAACCTATATAAATTTGGGAGATTTTATGTAAATTTTATTCTATATAATTACTTCCAAAGTTTTATTAATCAAATAAAGTTATTTATTGAGGGATAAATTTTAGTTTTTCAAAATGGTAATCTAAATCTAGTCATAGTTGTGAAGCCTAAACTACTGTATCAAATCTGATTCATTTTTACTTTACAACATAACAAAAAAAATAGAATTATTTCTTTTTTCAGGCTATTCATTGGATGTCGTCTAGGAAACAGCATATCAGGAACAGCCACAGATGTTTTAAAGTGTCAGAAATAAGTTGAGTTGCCTGAAGTTGTTGAATGACTACATCTGATACATATGACAATTTTTACTACACTGTTACACTTATGTTTGATTTGTTTTGAACCAGGAATAATGACATAGTACAACATAAAACCTATTATTATTTGTATGTAATCTAACTTTGCTGTAAAACTGTGGCGTGAGGCAGTTAATAATTTAAAGTAAGTTAAAATGATGTTAAAGCTTTTTTTATGGTTACCTACTCTCCCATGTTAGTTGAGGAGAAGTGAATGTTTTTACTCTGTGTATGATATATTTTTAAAAGACCAGTCTTGGTAGGAATGTTGACTAAGGTGTGAATGTTATATGAGAAGAATCCATGTACATTATTAACAAGACACTTGGAGCTACATGTATGTTGTTTGAATCATCGTTTACTTACCACAAATAACCTCAATAACATGCGATAAATTTAGGAATAGAATGAGTCTCTTGTATGATTTTAACCCAAATTGTGGGAAAAAAAACCAGACTTGTATGTTAAGATTTTTATGAAGATACAAGCATCTTCAATATCAAACATCTGTAGTTTGTCAGTAGATTTTCACTTTACATTGTTAAAATGTTTTGTAACTTGTGAACTGTAAGTGTTGCTTGGGGCTTACCATGTTATATTTTATGTAATAATCTCCTTTAACACCTTTCCATAATCTTCACTGTACTTGGAGTTTTTTTTTTTTTTTCCTTCAGTTGTAAATGTGTATGTTGCATTGTGAGATTTTCATTTTGGCAAATAGGAGTTGATATTCCCCCCTCTCTGTGGAATTGTGTTTCAAGAATATACATTCAGTATATTGAACACATTTACAGTATTTGGTAGAATTCACCAAACATAATAGGATATTTTAATATGTGTAAGTACAAATTGCTTAGTCATTTTAATAAACTGGATCTTAATAAAATAAATATATGGTTACATACAATTCTTCCCTTCCTGTTGTAATTGAGAAATTGATACAGACTTACATTACTGTGAACCTTTTATTTTTGAAATTTGTATAAATGACTTTCACTTACACATGATACACTGTATGTTATCAGTCATTTACAAAAGAACATTGCTTGTATGTAATTTCTTTTTTCTGTTCAAACACTATTGAACCACAGCGATGATATTTGATATTATAATATAGCATAAAGAATTATTGTGTTTGATAATTTTTGTGTTTCAATATCTGTAGGTAGTAGTAGATGTCGGAAACTGCACTACCAAACATTATTAGTAAAATCAAAGTATTTCTAAAGAACCTACTGACTGTTTATAGTTGTTTTATTGATTTTGGGGGAGAAATTATAAACTTTTCTAGGGGAAATTTCTTTTTTAAACTAAAAAACATTTTTTCTACAGCATCACTTAATTATCTTGTAAATTTATGTGTAATTATGCAGTTATAATTGTTGAATGTATTTTCCTAATGGAGTACTGGTTAGTTTATTGAGAACAATAACTACAGCTTCTGAGATTATTGGCATAATGTTTATAATAATTATTATAAGTACCAACTGGCTGATTGTCTTTTTTTTGTAGTGAAAAGCTACACATGGGCTGTCTGCATTCTTTCCAACATGGGGAAATAAACTCTGGACTTAATTAGCCATAAAGTAAAATAACATGTATTAAAAATGTTACAGATATTACATGATACCAAAATAACAGTGATGCTACAGTGCACATATTTTTTATGCTAAAAGTTATAGATTCTAGAGAAAGTATTTGTTTTAATTTTATAAACCATCTATATCTAAAGTTTTTTTCAATGTTGTGTTCACCACTTGCTTTTATTATACTATGTACTGTGTGATATTAAAATAAAGTAGAGGGTATACTCTTTTCATCGATTAAATAGTCCATGTTGTATCAATCGAATCTCAAGCACTAAGCCTGTTTTGCTTATTGGGAAAGACTATATGTGCAGCATTCTGCTGGTGAACAAAACCAATTTCATAAAAACTCTGCCAAAGTTTTCAAATTTATCTGACACAATTATGAACACCTAAGATCTGTATTTCAACAACTATAAGTAAATCATGTTAAAATCACTTGAGATTTTCTCCCTTTATTTAAATAAAGTGAAGAAATTTAAATTCTTCTCATATTATGTAATTTTTTACGACCTAAATCATCACATATTCTTTTATTTTACCGAGTATTCTGTTATATCCACGTTTTAACCTACATCATCACATATTCTTTTATTTTATTTGGTGTTCTGTTATTTCCGCGTCTTAACCTAAATCATCACATATTCTTTTCTTTTATTGAGTATTCTATTATTTCCACATTTTAACCTAATTCATCACATTTTATTTTACCAAATGTTCTGTTATTTCCCTGTTTTAACCTAAATCGTCACACATTCTATTATTTTATTGAGTGTTCTGTTATTAACACGTTTTAACCTACATCATCACATATTATTTTATTTTATTGAGTATTTTTTTATTTCCACGTTTTACCTAAATCATCACATATTCTTTTATTTCATTGAGTATTCTGTTATTACCACGTTTTAACCTAAGTCATCACATATTCTATTATTTTATAATATTATGTTATTTCCACGTTTCAACATAAACGTCCATTTTTTTACTGAGTATTATGTTATTTCCACGTTTCAACCTAAATTATGACATATTCTTTTATTGAGTGTTCCGTTATTTCCGCGTTTTAACCTAAATCGTTACATATTTTATTTCATTGAGTATTCTGTTATTTCCGCGTTTTAACTTAAATCATCACATATTTTATTTTATTTAGTTTTCTGTTATTACTGCATTTTAACCTAGATCATCATATATTATTTTATTTTATTGACTGTTGTGTTATATCCGCGTTTTAACCTTATTCATCATATATTCTTTTATGTCATTTAGTATTTTGTTATTTCCAAGTTTTAACCTATATCATCACATATTCTTTTATTTCATTAAGTGTTTTGTTATTTCCACGTTTTAACCTAAATCATCACGTTTTCTTTTATTGTATTAAGTGTTCTATTATTTTCGCAGTTTAACCTGAATCATTATATATTATTTTATTGACTGTTGTGTTATATCCGCGTTTTAACTTAAATCATCACATATTTTATTTTATTGAGTTTTCTGTTTACTACATTTTAACATAGATCATCGTATATTCTTTTATTGAGTGTTCCGTTATTTCCGCGTTTTAACCCAATTCACCATATCTTCTTTTATTTTATTGACTGTTGTGTTATATCCGCGTTTTCACTTAAATTATCACATATTCTTTTATTTTATTGACTGTTGTGTTATATCCGCGTTTTCACTTAAATTATCACATATTCTTTTATTTTATTGACTGTTGTGTTATATCCGCGTTTTCAC